TCTTCATTTTGAACAAGTTTGAAGGAGCGCTGCTGTGATTCAGGGAAAAGGTTTGTGGAATAATCTTGAAACTAAAATTAAAACTTCCACAACAGTTTATATGTTTAAAAAGATGACATAATAGGATTCCTAAGATTTTGTTGTTTTTGTTTTCTCAAATATGGAGATTGTTCAGGTTTAAAGGCGGCCTATTATGGGGGTCTTAGCGCAAGTTAGGATCCATCTGTGGGCTTTACAAAACATGTTCATTTGATTTAATGCACAAAATGAATCTCAAATGATGAACTTTCACCTTTTCAGTTCTGCCAGTTCTTCAGCTCTCTCCAGATCATGCTGAATGCAGAAGTTGTTATGAAAATCCCCCTCCCCTATCCCCCCTATCAGTTTGTTTACTTTAGCTCCGCCCCCCGACATGGTAGAAGTTTCCAAAGTGAAATTATTTTCACAAACTACAGCTTCCTTTGGCAATATTRTTAGAACATTGTCATCGAAGATAAAAATAAAATTAATCCAGGCATCTCTGTTCTCCGTGGCTGCTGTAAAAACAGCACAACTATCTGAGGAAGTGGGCGGAGCTTCACCTCGGGTTGCCAGGTAAGGAGCTGGACTCTGGTTTAGGKTGCTAGGTGACTGTTAWTGTGACGTCAGAATAACGTGCTTTGAGAAATACCATGTTTCCAGATATCTACAAATACATGTAATTACAGATAAAAAAAATTGCTGGGTGCATTTTTTTTGGTGTTTGGACTGCTTCTCTAAGCAGTAGAGACCCAAAAATAAGTTTAAAAACATAAAAAATGTGAGTTTTGCATAATAGGTGCCCTTTAAGTTGTTTGTTTGAAGTTATTTTTTTAAATAAGGGGCAGATATAGGATGTTTTTGTCTTTCTTCACCCCTTTCATTCAGTAATCAATTTACATTATTTTTTAATGGATAAATAAAATTACAAGAAGTCTTCCCAAGTGTAACTGTCTTACTCCATGGCAGATTGTTTCACTTAATGAGATTATAGATAATCTAGTATTTTTTAAAACATATTTTTGGATGGCTAATTTCTGCAACGTAGAAATGACTCATGGCTACCACATCAAATTTTAGCTCATCATCTGTCAAACTGGCTGATCTTTAGCCATTTTTGTGTTTCATGAGGTCAGCTGGTTGAGGTGGCCTTCTTGAACCGGGTCGACTCCAAAACTGACTCACTTGTAGATTAGCATCTTGAGATACACTCACCGGCCACTTTATTAGGTACATCTGTCCAACTGCTCGTTAACACTTAA